CAGAACATGGACCCCAGTCGGAAGATGGGACAGTAGAGATTCTTGGAGCTGAAGCGACAGGTTTTCAGGAAAGTTTTGTTGTTTGTTTCTAGCACATTGGCTCTAAGAGGAAGCCATGACAGGAAAGTGAGACATTTTGTTGCTGGGCCAGACCCAGGAAGCAATGGGCCCTTTGACAGATGTAACCTTTTCCCAGCTTGTATCTTATTCCCCTCAAGAACAGAGCTCACACCCAAGCAGAGAAAAGGGCACCCCTGTTCATTCATGTCTGTATACACACCATGCACAGCTTGAGCACAGCGGCCACAGGGAGGGCCCTCAGCCCACCTCCCCATCCCAGTAGCCAAGCCCCACCTACTTGGAGAAGTTGAACTTGGGGAAGCGAATGAAGTTCTTTATGAAAACAGTGAAGCCTTCAGCATCCTTCAGGAGTGGATCCCTGAAAACCAGGCCAGGGCAGCCTGAGCAGGAGCCCTGCCCCTGCCCTCTGACTCCCCTAGACCTATGGAGCAGGTAGGCCTCTGGCCTCAGGTGGGACCCACTGTGTAAGACTGTGTAGGCAACTCCTCTGAGACCACAGGCCACGGCCACTCACGTTGGCATGGACATTGTCTCCACTGGGCACCAAGCGAAGATCTCACAGGTGCCCCGGGTAGAGTTCCCCACCCGTAGACAACGACCAGTTTTCAGTCCTGCAGGGGAGGGACAGGGACAATGCCATGGACCTTCCTGTCCAGGTTTCTCTGCCCTGCTCCAGCCCCAGGCACTCCAGGTCCTCACCATGCCCAGCTACAACAGACTCCCCGGCATGGCAGTCCGTGTCCTCAGAACACTCGCCATCAGGGATGCCTTCACGCTACAAGGAAAGAAAAGGATCTGCAAGGGGTACCCCAGCCCAGGGCTAGGTCCCATCAGAGATAGAAGAGGGCTTCTTCCCTGGCCTGAGGCCACATGCCCTTTGAAAATCTGTTCTCAGACCGGCAAAGTGACTCAGTGGGTAAAAACATCGACCATGAAAGCCTGGCAACCTGTTTAGTCCCTGGAAACTATGGTGAAAGAGGAGATAACCAACTCCACACATGTGCCATAGCATGCACACATGCAAGCAGGCACTAATCATAAATGAAAGTGTAAAACTTAAAAAAAAATTTAAGAAAACCCATCTCTCCCCCAAATTACATGGACAACATGCAGTGTTTATACAGCATTTTGGCACTCTTGAAGCACACGAAGATTCAGGAGGACTGTCACCACAGCTGGGGGCTTTCCAACCCCTCCCCAACACACATGCCAAATCAAACCTCAGCACAGATGCCCTGCCGCTGGTTAGGAGTCACGATCAGGTTGGTGACCACGAAGAAAACGTTCTCCCCCTGAGGAGCCAGACAGAGTTTGAGGAGTCTCCTCCTGGCCTCTCGGGAAGAGTCAGCCAGGTGAGAGTGGACCTCTGTAAGGGGTTGGGAACAATGGGGACCACAAAACTGGTGATCATTGTCCATCTGTCGGATGAGCCCACACTTTGCAAGTGGATATCATTTTCTGGGTAACCCCAAGCACTCTCACCCCATAATTCTATCCCAACCTCAGCCTGTTCTACATCAGAACAGCTATGAACAAGCAGGGGAGCTATTCCCAGGGACACCACTGTGCCAGGTCACTCTGGACCCTGAGTGGTCTCAGCAGACACATAGACCACTGAGAACCAGGCTTGGTACAGAAAACAACCTAGACAGGGCGTCTGTCTGTATCCTGAGCCAGAGGGACAACTAATGGAGTTGCCTGGGTACTTCCTGTGTGCCCCACCTCAAGCCACACCTCACCAGCCCAGGCCCCAGGTGGTGCTCTGACCTGAGATGGGATGACAAAGTCTGCTACATCCCAGAGCCGTTCCCCAAGCATAGTGGTATTGGTATAGGCCACACCCTTGACTTTGGTGACCACAGCACTCTGCAGGGAAGTATCAATATCCTGATAACTCTTCTTTATCAGAAACACCCATCTGTAGAAATATGAGCAACAGGTGGGCATCAGTCACCGGGCTGCCCAGGCCCAGGCTGGAGTGAGAACCATTGTAAGTCCTAGGCCGGTGGGAGAGCTCAGGGTTCACCTGTCCCACGAGCACGCGATATTGCACTCAAGATGCTAAAGCAGGAAGATAGACAATTGAAGACCATTCTTGGCTACAGTCTGAGACACTATCTGGTAAACAAAATCTGAGGCCGGAGAGTTGGCTTAGTGGTTAAGAGCACTTGTTGCACTTGCAGAGGATCCCATTTCCATTCAAGGTACCCACTCGTACCCATCCGTAACTACAGTCTCAGTTCTGACCTCCTCAAGGACAGGGACAAGGCACACATATGGTGCACAGACATCATACACATACAACAATAAAATTAGTAACTCTAAAAAAGAAAGAAATTGTCAGGTGTGTGACATGCTCCTTTAATACCCAGCACTTGGGAGGCAGAGACAGGCAGATCTCTGGGTTCGAAGCTAGCATGGCCTACAGAGTGTGTTTCAGGACAGCCAGACAGGACTGTTGCACAGAGGAACCCTGTCTTGAAAAACCAAATAAATGACTAAACAAATAAATAGATAAATGAAACCTCATATTCTTTTATACTAAGAACATAAGCAGAGCCAACAAGATGGCTCAGGAGATAAAGGCACCTGCCTCTAAGGCTGATGTTCTGAGTCTGACCCACAGACACGGTACAAGGAGTGAACAGACTCCCACATGTGAGCCATGCTACATGCTTGCCCACACAATACTCAATAATTAATAAAAAAAAATATTTAAAAAGGCTGAAAAGATTGCCCAGTGGTTAAGAGCACTTACTGCTCTTGCAGAGGACCTGGGTTCAGTTCCCAGCACCCACATCAGATTGCTCATAAACACCTACAACTAATTCAAGTCCCTGGGGGTCTGACACCCTCTGACCTCCACCAGCGCCTGCACATAGTACACATAAACTCACGCTGCCTCATACACACAAAAATAATGTAAAACATAGCTAACAAAACCAAACCAAAACAACAAAAAACTTTGGTCTCTTGAAATTAAAAATATTTGCACATCAAAGGACACTACTATCATGAAAGTGTAGCTCAGAATTATTAGAATTATAGGTGTGTGCGCGCGCCATCACACCTTTCTAAAGAGATAAATATGCATAAATTGTATGTGTGCTTATGTGTGCTCATGAGTTCTAGTACCCTTGGAAGTCAGAAGAGGGAATCAGGTTCTCTGGAGCCGGGGTTACAGGGACTTGTAGGCCAATCAGCCAGGAACAGAACTCCTAAAAGAACAGCAAACACTCTTAACCACCCAGACGTTGCTCTAGCCCCTAAAAAGATAAACTTTTAAAATGAGATGGCTCAACCGGGCAATGGTGGCACATGCCTCTAATCCCAGCACTTGGGAGGCAGAGACAGGCAGAGCTCTGTGAGTTCAAGGCCAGCCTGGTCTACAGAGCTAGTTCCAGGACAGCTAGGGCTGCTAACACAGAGAAATCATGTCTTGGGGGCGCAGGGAGGCACTTGTCAAATACTAAGCACAGTGAGCCTGGCACAGAGCAAAAGCTCCATGCACAGAACTACCAACTTATTGCTGTAGGTAACTATCATCCAACTTAACCCGTCTTGGTGAATCTGAGGAAACCTGTCAAAAGAGGAAGATGCCAACATCTTGACTCATGAAGTGAGTGGCATGTCATGCAGGCTTTCTCCAGGGAACCAGGGAAGTGTCAACCAACATGTGTCCACTTCCTCACTTCTGGGGCAGAGGTAGGGAAGCCTAGACCCTAAGGCATCACATTTTCAAGGAACCCTGAGAAAGTTGTGATTCTTGAGCACACCTTCCATTTTAGCAGAGAAATGTCAGGTTTTGTCCAATCCAAAACAGTAAGCAAATATTCAACTTTCATTTATTCATTTCATACCTATTCTCAAGTGAAGTGACACCAGTCCCTCCTGTCACAGAATCCCCAGACTGCAGGGAGATAGAAATAGACCCTGAGCAAATGACCATCCTATTTGGCTAGGGAATGCCAGGGAGGGACAGAGAAGAGGAGTCATTGGAGCCCTCAAACCTGGACAAAGAGTGGTGCCACGGGAAAAACCGTGGTGGCTGAGGACAGGCAGTACAAGGGCCTGAGGTAGGACAGTGCCTCGGTGCCAAAATACAGGAAATGCTAAGAATCCAACTATTAACCATGCCTTTAATACCAGCCAGCACTCGGGAGGAAGAGGCAGGCAGATCTCTTAGTTTGAGGCCAGCCTTCTCTACACAGTAATTTCAGGACAACCAGGGCTAAAACAGAGAAACCCTGTCTCCAAAAAACCAAAACAAGAAAGGGAAAAAAAAAAAAAAAAAAAGGATGCAGCCATTAGTAGGCAGCAAGGCTAGGACTGTCCTCCGAGGAACAATAATTGCACACCGTTTAATGAGGAAAAGAGTGAATTGCCACTGTTCTCAGTAGCTGCCTCTCTCCACCTGTGCCCTCCTCTCTACCCGGGAGCAAAGGAAGGCTCTGACTAAGGTCTAGCTGTTAAGCCTCCATCGAGCTGCCCCTGGGCTGGCGGGCCCACATTCTGTTAGGTGAGATGACAACAAGGGGACAGTCGAGCAGCTGAACACTGGAGAGTCTGCTCTGCCCGTTTTTCCCGTGAGCTAACCCTGAGTTCCAGAACATGCCAGTCTGATGAGCTGGCCCAACCAAGAGTAAGTCAGTGATGCTTCGTGCTTATAAATAACCTGCTGGGTGCCTGAGCCAGCTGTCAGGCCAGAGCCCAGGAAGTCCTCTGGGGACAGCTGAGTCCAGAGTTCTGGCATCGCTGCCTCCTGGCGATGGCTGTAATACCAGGCACTCCAGTCCGGGGAGAAGAGGCTCCCTACAAATAGCTTCAAACCAAGGTACCCAGTTGCCCCCTCCCACGTTTCGGACGGCAGAGTGTCCACTTTTCACCTTCCCACCCTTACATCCAAGGGCCTATAAGGACCCACTCCCAAGGTCCCTGTGTCTACACCTTCCCCTCTTCACCCCCCTGAAAAAGTGCCCGAGGACTCACATGAGCAAGTACAGCAGGATGGTGAGCTGCAGCACCCGGTAGAGTAGCCCCACCTTCTTGCTCTTGGCGACCACGAACTTTGCGGTCTTGTAGTCGAACAGCGACAGGGCGAACCCCTTCCAGGCCGCCTGACCCATGCCTCCGGCTCACTCGGCCGGACGCTGCCTCCCGCCGCCCGGCGCCCAACCGAGCACTCTGTGTGCTCTGCCGCAGTCCCGGGCGCGCGGCTCCAAAGGGCGTGAGCCGGAGTGCGGGCACGCAGACCCGGGCGCGAGCACCAGGCGGCCAGTAGGACCCCGCCGCCGCGGGGAGCCGAACTGCCGCAAGCTCCCAGCCCGGGATGCGGCCACTGACACGGTGACACCACCGGGCTGTGCCTCCGGCCACTGGCCTGCAAGGACACGCGCACCGAGTGCGGAGGCGAGGAAGGAGGGAAGGTGCTTTCCAAGGCGTCTCTCCCGCCCCTACCTCCTCCCACGGGATTTGCTCCAGGGGAGCTGGGTGGGGAAACAGAGGCAGGATCCGAGAGGGACCCAGAGCGCAGGAAGTGCAGGAAGAGGGGTAGAGACAGCCACTAGTAAGACTGGCTTCCCGATTGCCCTGGCCTCGCTGCTCACGCAGTCAGACAGGCTTGTAAGTAGATCCCTGGTCGCCTGTGTCTGCTGTAATCAAGGGGGCGACTTCAGGGTCTAAACCCTAGAAGTTTCTGGGGTCAGGGACCAGTGATCCCAGTCAGGTACGGTGGGATAGGAAGAGCTGGGGCACTAAGGCTTGGGACACTAAAATATGCCTAGAGACAGAATAGAAAAAGATGGACTCAATGCCATTGTCTGAGGCTGAACCAAACAGGGAGAAGAGGTCTCTGGAACTGAGCTTTGAAACTGGTGTGGACTGGGGTAAGCTGTCTGTGGTGAAGGAATGTATGATGAGACGCTTCCTGTGGCATGGGTCTGTATGCAGTGAGGGGTTGTGTGGTGAGAAATTACTGGGCTGTGTGGTGAGAAATTACTGGGCTGTGTGTGCAATGTGGGGCTGTGCGTGCTGACGGGCTGTATATGTACTGAGGGGCTGTGTGGTGGTGGGCTGTGTGTGTACTGAGGGGTTGGGTGTGGTGATGGGCTGTGTGTGGACTGTGATGCTGTGTGTGGTGGTGGGCTGTGTGTGTTCTGAGGGGTTGGGTGTGGTGGGGGGCTGTGTGGTGGTGGGCTGTGTGTGTACTGAGGGGTTGGGTGTGGTGAAGGGCTGTGTGCCGAGGCTGAGGGGGTAAGGGGCTATGCACACTGTTTTCTGCACCTGTGTCTGAGCCTTCTAGCCATGCTCCTCTCCTGGCCCTGGCCCTGGCTGGCTTGCTCAGTGGGAAGCTCACTCTCTGAAACTACAGATTCCAGAACTTGGAAGAGATGCTGAAGTCCACCACATGTGATCTTTAAAAACAAAAGTCTCAGGGAAAGCCGGGCATTGGTGGCGCACACCTTTAGTCCCAGCACTCAGGAGGCAGAGGCAGGCAGATCTCTGAGTTTGAGGCCAGCCTGGTCTATAGAGTGAGTTCCAGGACAGCCAGGGCTGTTACACAGAGAAGCTGTGTCTCAAAACACCAAAACAAAAAACAAACCAATTTGCAACTGGATGGAATGACTATTTAAAAAAAAAAGGGGGGGCAAACTAGAGTCAGGATACAATATATAAGAGAATAAATTAAAAGAAAAAGGACAAATTCCTGGGCTTTGCACTTGAATTTCCCATTCATTCTAGCAAAGGATGTAGAGAGCTGCATTTTGCTTTTAAAGTGTCATTTGGAAACCATGCGTTGTTATAACTCAGTGTCATTTGGAAACAATGCGTTGATATAAACGTCAAGCTCAACCTAACCAGTTCCTCAAAAATGCTTATTTTCACACACCTAAAGTAACCCCCACCCCCACCCCAATCACCTCATCCCATGGCCCCAACATAGACCTGCAGAGCACTTTTGTTGCTGTTGTTTTTGTTTTTCGAGACAGGCTTTCTCTGTGTAACCCTAGATGTCCAGGAACTCACCCTGTAGACCAGGCTGGCCTTAGAGAGATCTGCCTGCCTCTGCCTCCCAGATGCTGAGATTGAAGGTGTCCCCTGCTATGCCAGGCTATCTGCAAAGCACTTTCAACACCTGAGATGATCTCACTAATTTGTTTACTGTGCCCCCCCCCCAAGACCAGAAGCTCCAAGAAGCTGGGTGTCTTGCTTTGGATAATCTCATGTGCCAAGCCCAGTGGCATGCCTGCCATGTGCTAGTACTGTATATTTACCAAATGACTACACAGACCTGGGCCTGGTTTCTTTTAGACACATTTGGATCCTCCACTCTGTCCCAATTATGACCCTGGAAGCTGAAGGGATCCTATCATCTGCACGAATCTTCAATAGCCAAAAGGGAAGCAGCCACCACAGAGTGATGATGCTCACACACTTGAAGACGTCCACCTTCCACCACCCAACATAAGGTGGTGAAATGGGAAAGTAGATGCTCCGAGCTGGAGAGCTGGTGGGAATCTGTTAACATCTAACCCTGAGGAATACTTGTCTGGAAACAGTCCCATAGCCCACAGCCCAGCTGCCTGAAACATCAAGATGGTGTCATAGAAGCATGGATCTCACATCTGACAATCTTGTCCTGAACTTGTAGGATGAAAGCTTCATCCTGGGTAGCGACAACCATTAAAACATCACCCTGGGAGAGAAAGAATAGGCGCTTCTCTTCCTGTTGCTGAGAGCCAGCCAGGTATACAGTCCACCCCACCTCAACCTCAGTGGCCTCTCCACACTTGCGCTCTTGAGTTTAAGAGACTGAAGAACACCAGGCAAGGTGGCCCACACCTTTAATTCCAGCACTCAGTAGGCAGAGGCAGGCTTAAACTCATCACTGTGGGTTTGAGGCCAGCCTGATCTACAGAGTTAGTTCCCAGACAGCCAAGACAAGAAACCTGTTTCAAGGACCAACCCACACACACAAAAAAAAGACCAACCAATCCGTTTTGAGGAAAAGACTTTCCTCTTTCCTGCATTAGCTAGGACCTTTGGGATAGTATGTGATTTCTCACAGCAATCCCAGTGCAAGGGTGGGCAGAAACAGATGAACCCTGGGGGCTCACTGAGCAGCCAGTCTAGCTGAAACAGCTCAAGGGTCAGTGAGAGGCATCTCAAAGAGGATGCCTAAAGTCCACATCTGACCTCCACATACCATGCTCACATACACATGAGTGCACCTGCAGAGAGAGAGAGAGAGAGAGAGGAGAGGGGGAGAGGGAGGAGAGGAGAGAGAGAGAGGGGGGGGAAAGAGGGGGAAAGAGGGAGAGAGAAGAGAGAGAGAGAGAGGAGAGATCCAGAGGAAGGTGCCTATGTTAAACCTCTCCACTCCACACTCGGGGTTCTGGTAGAGCCTGTTTGTAGACAGATGCCCTGATATGTACTAAAGCCCCAAGACAACACAGAACAGAGCCCACTAGATTAGGTCCAGTAGTAGAAGTATTTGAGGACAGTGTCCAAGCCAGCCTCGAACTTGTGATCCTCCTGCCTCAGCTTCCACAGCACTGGGATTTCAGGCGTGCGCCCACACATGCTTCCTTCCACTGTTGATTCCTTTCTTGATCAAACCTCAACTGGGCACCTACTGTAAATGTCATGTCAGGGAGATATTCTAAAGAGATGCTTGTGCCTTCCCTCAGACTATCAGACAATTGAAACTGGTTCCCAGGGGCATCCTGCTGGGAGAAAGAAGACTGGAGCCTGGTGCCTGCTAGAAGCATCCTCCAGGAAGAGATTTCACACAGTTCTGATAGCTTCTCAGGCTACCTTGCAGGAGAGACAGCTAAGAATGGTGGAGGGCAGAACCACATCTTGACCAGGATGCCTTAATTATCCATACTCCTGCCTTCTCTAAGCCTCTTGTTAGAGCCACGGAGGAAGGTTGGGAGTTACTGGATCTGTTTGTTCCTCGTTGAATACATCGTCCTCTGCTTTTCACTGTAACTTGTCTAATAGGCTTGTTGAGGACAGATGGTCAAGGCTAGCTCCTTAAGGCCATCAGGGACAAGTCTCTAACCCTGACACCACCAGTAATCTCGTATATGCTGCTGAAGAGGCCAGAATGTCAGTTACCTGTCTTCTGACCTTTCTCAGTGGCCACTCTGGCTTTAGAGAAAGAAGCCTTGCCCTACCATGCCTCCTGCACATTCACTGCATAACTGAAAGCAAGCTGCACTTCTGACAACTCTCCAGAAACCTGAGAGACCTTCAAGGGTGTTTAGAAAGGAAAGGGTTGCCTCCTTATAGCCAGTGGCCTGTCATGACATCAGCTTACTATGTCTTTAAAAACAAGGGAGCGGGGGAGGATATCAGGATGGCCCAGTGGGTAAAGATGCCTGCCAGAGAGAACCAGTCCCTGCTAGTAGTCTTCTGACCTCCATACATGTGCCACAGCACAAGTGTGCGCAAGCACATACAGTCAATCAAAAATAAAATCTAAAAAGAATAAAATCCCAGGGTGTGTTTAAGAAGTCAGGGTAGGTATGTTTTCTTGAAGTTAATGTTTCAAGTGTATGCCTGTATCTGCCATTATGGCGTGGATCATATTTTTTCCTGAGGTTTAGCTAAAATGTGTGGGGGGAATATATCTTAAGTTGTGCCCTCGAGTATCTGGACTCCATCTCTACATCCTGAGGCCAACTCACCATGCCCACAAGCTCAGACTTAGCACCCTCTGTGTCCAAAGGGGTGACTCTAGTCATCACAGTGATACTAATAATCTGAGGATGGGCTGGAGAGATGGCTCAACAGTTAAGAGCACTGACTGTTCTTCCAGAGGTCCTGAGTTCAGTTCCCGGCAGCCACATGCTGGCTCACAACCATCTGGAATGAGACCTGATGCTCTTTTCTGGCATGCGGGCAGATAGAACACTTTATACATAATAAGTAAATTTTTTAAAGATTTATTATGTATACAGTGTTCTGCCTACATGTATACCTGCAAGCCAGGGAGGGCACCAGATCTCATAATGGATGGTTGTGAGCCACCATGTGGTTACTGGGAGTTGAACTCAGGACCTCTGGAAGAACAGGCAGTGCTCTTAACCTCTGAGCCATCTCTTCAGCCCTATTTTTTTTTTTTTTTAAGTCTGAGGGCATTTCCAAAATTATTGCCTCCTACTCTCTCCTTTTTGGTGGCAGTTTTCATGCTTGGGCTCAAACCTGAGTCCTTTCAAATATTAAGCTCACTGAAAGCTCTATCCCTAACTCTTGTCTGCTTTGAGGAATCATTTTCTTTGATTTAACTAGCTCCATGTCAAGATTCTTAGTCTCGAGTGGAGAAATGGCTCAGTGGTTAAGAGCACTGATGGCTGTTCCAGAGGACCCAGGTTTTATTCCCAGCACCCACATGGCAGCTAACAGCAGTCTGTAACTCCAAGATCTGACCCCCTCACACAGACATAACATGAAGGCAAAACACCAATACACATAAAATAAAAAATAATTTAAAAATAAAAGAGTCTTAGAGTCCCACAATGCCCTGGTAAAATGAGCCTTGTCAC